AAGTGACTTTTATACACGACCAAACGTTAGTGTCTGCAAATGGCTGAGGATTACGTCTTTGGACTCGCGCGTCCCGGGGCGGTCAGTAAGAAGCAGGAGGCTGGAGGAAGGGGGAGCGGTCCCAACTCTTGCGTTAAGAGTGGGACGGAACCCAGGAACCCGGAGGTCCCGGTTCCATTCCCAGTCAGGGCACAGGCCTGGGCTGCAGGCTTGATCCCCAGTGGAGGGCGTGCAGGAGTCAGCCGATAGATGATGTTTCTCTGTCATTGATGTTTCTAAACTTCTCCCCCCCCCCACCCCCATCTCTCTCTCTCTAAAAATCAATGAAAACACTTTTTAAAGCCTGGAACAGAGTCTGCATGAGCAGCATCGAGGCCAGACACGCTCTGCCCTCCCGGCCGCAGCCCCACAGGTGGGCAGGTCAGAGCCCTTCGCACGGCGTTGGAAGCAGAAACGCTGTTTTCCTGGGAGGGAGCTTGGGCCGGACGGAGGCGCTGACGTGCCAGCAGGCGTGTTCTCTGCCCGCGTGCGGGACGAGGAGCCGGCGCAGGAGCGGGAGCCACGGAAGCCTTCCTCTCCCCGGCCCTTAAACCTCTAGGGCCCCTGGGGCTGAGCAGCGGTCCCACCGCCAGGGTTCCTCCCAGGGACATCTGGGTACCACCCCCCAGCAGAGTCATGAGGGCAGCGCCACGCGGGACGTGCCTGCCGGTCCTCTCCGAGGCAGGAGACAAGCATTGCGAGGCTGACCAGAAGTTACCGCCAAGACCGTCTCGCAGCCTGGCCACGTTCTAATGCAGCGCTGACGTTTGACGTTTCAGGTGCAGCTTCGTTTCCAAGTGACAATCAACATTCTTCTGCAGGAGCAGGCGCCGGGAGCCGGCACAGCCGGTGGAGAGGCGGCGGCCGCGGAGGCGCCCGCGCTGTCCCGGTGAGACCGGAGCCTGTGCAGCTGGGCCGAGCAGCGTGTTTACAAAGCGCTTACACGGGTCGGTTTCAGCTCCCCGGGGCCCGGTGTCAATGCGCTTTGGCAGGGCCTCTCAGATACACGAGTCGGCGTCGGCAGGGCCCGGGGTCAGAGGGGATCCTCGCTCTCTGAGGCGACTGTGAAATCCGCTCTCAACCCTCTCTCCCGCGGGTGCAACGCCGAGGACGCCGGTGGCCGTCCCTGAGACCGACGCTCACGCACAGCAGCCGGGGTCCTTCCGTGTCCGGCCACGGGGTCCCGGGAGCGAGGCGCCCACTCTCGGCAGGCGAGCCTGTCTCAGAGGAGACCACCCCCAGAGGGAGCACGCCGCTGAGAACCCGGCCAGAGCCCGTGGCTCCGGGCCAGAGCCCGTGGATGCCAGCGGGGCCTGCCAGCGCCCTCGGGGTAACCAGCTGGGTTTGCTCAAGCGTCTTCCCTTCCGAGATTGTTTACATGAACTTCCCTTTCATCGTCCACGTGCATCTCACCACAGGACGGGCGCGGCCGCCACACCCCGCGCCCCACAGAGGCAGCTCTGCACAACACGTGTGCCGGCCTCTCATCCGGGCACGAAAGCCAAGGAACGCGAAACAGCGCGTCTATCCGCTGCGAATGCATGAATGCATATCTGTGTCACGGTGAGAGTGTGCAAGCGGAAAAGTCAAAAGGAAAAGACTTCTGTTCACGAAGACATAACTAACGGGGAAAACCTGTGAGCGGGAAACACGTCAATTTAACCACAGAAAGGTCTTCGCTGGACGGGAACTGTGAAAGACAGACAGTTCTCTGGGGATCAGAGCTGTTGGAAACGGTAGCCCACGGGACCTAATGACATAATTGATGTTTATTAAAAATATAACCTAGCCCGGCCGGCGTGGCTCGGGGTTGAGCATCCACCTATAAAAAAGGAGGTCATAGTTCAGGCCCGGGTTGTGGGCTCGATCCCCAGGGTGGGTGTGCAGGAGGCAGCCGATCCGTGGTTCTCTCTCATCATTGATGTTTCTCTCTCTCTCTCCCTCTCCCTTCCTCTCTGAAATCAATCAAACATATCTAGGACCTGACGGGATATATCTGCATATGCAGGAAGCACGCCCCACTTCCTCTATGTCTGAGACGCACCCCCTTTTCTGCCTTTAGCCACACACTACACAGGGCTCTGCAGCCAGACCCTCGGGACACGGGCACGTGCTGAGCTGCGGTCTGAGGAAGGAGTCGGGGAGCAGGGCCTCCCGGTGGGGGCACGCACTTCCTGCCCGTGACCGGCTCTGGACCGAGCGACGAGCTCTGACCACTCAGGTCACACGTGGAGGCTTGAGATGTGCCTGTGCCGTGGGGCGTGCCCCCTGTGCCCAGGCACAGCCCGTGCAAAGACCACGCCCAGACGACCCATTCATCAGAGAGGACGGGACCAGACTGACCAACCACATTGGCACACGGGCACGAAGGAGAACAAGCAGGAGGGGCTGGAAGCCGTGGGGCTCGGGGAGGCTTGGTCACAGCACTAAGTCAAAGATGGCTAGTCCCACTCTTTAAAAGGAAGAAACACCAAAAATAACTAAATGCCTAATCAATCAAAATGATTTACAAATTTTGATCTATGTAGTGTGTGTGTGTTGTTAGGGAAAAAAATATATCGTTTCACCATTATCACCATCACCTATTATCCTCACCATCATCACCATCACGTGAACACAGCTGCTCTCTGTCCCGGGAGGATGGACGGCACCTGAGCGCGTGGGACCATAACCATCATCTCCATCATCATCATCACCATCACCATCATCATCACTACAATGATCATCACTGTCCCCGTTACCATCACCATCACCACCATCACCATCACCATCACCACCACCATCACCATCCCAGTCACCATCACCACCATCATCATTATCCTGTCACCATCACCAACATCACCATCACCATCCCAGTCACCATCACCACCATCATCATTATCCTGTCACCATCACCATCCCGTCACCATCACCATCACCATTTCCATCACCACGGCCACCGCCATCTCAGCAGCGTGTGACGCCGCACACATCCTTGCTTCCTCTCCAGAGCAGCTTTGCCCTGCAGGACCTGCATGTCACCTGGCAGTCTGTGGTTGTGCCAGGCCCTCCTACATGCTGATTGCACACATGCTGACTCCCGTCACCTGGACCGCCTCACAGAGGCCGGGGCAGGATCCCGGCGTGATTTATGAGCCGGCTGGGGCACTCGTAAATAATGTCGGCCGTGGGGGTTTCTGACAAGGACTCAGGCTGCCTTCTCAGCAGGAGGAGGAGGGCGAGGGAGGACCAGGAGGGAGGCTCTGTCCCTGAAGCCAGCTGTGCAGTGAAATGGCATTCTGCTTTCGATTTGGATCTTAACGCTGAGCAACAAGAACCATCTGCGCAGCCTGGTGCTGGCTCCCCGCCCGGACCCCGCCGTCTCCCTCCCGCCTGCTGCCGGGACGCAGACTCATAGCCCGGACACAGACACATTATCCTTTCCCATCTGCTCCGAACCTGGGCCTGCCCACCTCCCCGAGGCTGCCCTGACAGCGGCCTCTCCCCTGACCCCGCTTCCAGGGTCCTCCTTACTGCACAGGTCACAGGTGGGCTTCACGAAACCCGCTTCTGGGAGCAGCGCAGCCTGAGGGAGCCTGGCTCTGGGCACAGCGTGGCGGCCGCCGTGGACACGGCACGTGGCACCCCAGAAAGGAAACCCGGACGCTCTCAGCAGCTGCTCCCTGTCCCGGGAGGATGGACGGCACCTGAGCTCGTGGGAGCCGATCCACAACAGCGGGCAGGTGCTACGCTGGCACTTACACTGAGACCGGCAGTGTCCGCCACGTCTCAGTACCACGGGGCCCGGAGGAAGGGAGGAGCCACGGGAACGGCCCACGTGGACCAGGATGGGGTCCGACCCAGACGGGGCCAGGGCCAGAAAGGGGAAGGGCGGACACGAGGCCTGGAGCGTGTGACAGGGAACATCACCCGCTGCCGTCAGAACAAGAGCCTCTTCTGTCTCCTCCAGGGCCCCCCAGCAGCGGGCAGCCCGGACGGTCACGGGCGGGGCTGGTTCGCACAATAATTAAGGTGACCAGAAGTCCCGCTTTTGGTGGGACAGTCCCGATTTTTAACAATTTGGCCCGCGTCCCGTGGCATTTTTAAAAAAGTCCGAAAAAATCGGGACTTTTTTTAAAACGCCACGGGACGCGAGACAAATTGTTAAAAATCAAATCGGGACTTTTAAAAAAATAATATATTTTATTGATTTTTCACAGAGAGAAAGGGAGAGGAATAGAGAGCTAGAAACATCGATGAGAGAGAAACATCGACGAGCTGCCTCCTGCACATCCCCCTATCAGGGACGTGCCCACAACCAAGGTACATGCCCTTGACCGGAATCGAACCTGGGACCCTTCAGTCCACAGACCAACGCTCTATTCACTGAGACAAACTGGTTTCGGCAAATCGGGACTTTTTAAAAATGCCACGGGATGTGGGGAAAATTGTTAAAAATCAAATAGGGGCTTTTTTAAAACGCCACACGACGCGGGACAAATTGATAAAAAGCGGGACTGTCCCGCCCAAAGTGTGACGTAATAAGGCGCGTCACACACACGGACCCAAGCGTCGCTGTCCACAGGGAGCCGAAGCGGGAAAAGGTTCAGCCACTGCTCTTGTCACACCCCGTGGGGTGGAGCCAGACTCCAGAGCACGGGCCAGCCTCCCCCGCCTCCCTGAAGGAACACCGTAGCTAAGCAGGTGCCCCCGGGCACTGAGCCGGAAGGAACAGGAGAGGGACAGGCTCCATCGCATGTCATGTTTTATTTCAATCGAAGAAGGGTTAAATTCAAAGTTCGGAAATAGAAGAGATTGTCCAGTAAGTTCGGGAGCGTAACCGCATCCATGGTGACGCTGACAGTTTAGTGGCTCCGGGTCCAGCTGTCGCTCTGCACGTGAGACACGGAGACGCCGTCTTCACGCTTATTCACGGGTCGCGACTGCAACGTGCCAGGGAGCGAGGCCCCCGGGGCTGTTTCCCGACCACAAGTCGGAGCCGAGCCAGCCTCCCGGCCGGCCCCACACGGCCCCCCGGCCTCCAGGGGCTGCAGGGCCGTGGCTGCTCCGTGCAGGGTCCAGCGGCCCCGGCCGGACAGGGGCCAGTCTGTGGCTCTCCGTGTGAGCTTCAGTTCTGACCCAGCCCGCCCCAGTGCCCCGGGGACTGGCCCAGTGCCACGTTCTCATGCCCTTGGGGCCTTCGGGAAAGAACGAGGAGGAAGCGGGGCTGGGCTCAGCCCCCTGCCTGCCGAGGGCACACAGCCCAGCACCTGGCCGTCCGGCAGTGACTCCTTAAAGAGACTGTCGGAGATGCTCAGGGGCCCCGGAGGGCAAGGCCAGGGGGAAGGGCAGAGGTGGGCAGATGGCAGGTGAGCTCCGCTCTGGCCTTGGACCCTGCCTGCCGCCTGGAGCCAGCGCGAGGGTGGGGGTTCACGGGGGTGGGGGGGCCCCCAGAGTTGATGTCACTGCCTGAGGCCAACCTCGAGGCGGTAGGGCCAGCCCAGGAAGGTGGTCGGAGACGACCGTCCCCCAGGCCCCATCATCGCGCTGATGTGGTTGTCGATGTGACGGGAGCGAGACTTTGGGAAAGCAGAACGAAGGGACCAGGTCTCGGAGACACGCAGCCCGGCACACGCCACCTGCTGGCCGCACACCTCACAGACCGAAGGTCAGCTCCCACGGGGACCCTGTGCTGCCGCACAGCGGGTCTCGGAGCAGCGGCCGGAGGAAGCGAGTGCCGGGGAGGCGCCACAGGCCATAGCCGCCGTGCCCGCGCCGCAAGCCTCCACATGGACACCGTGGCCCGGAGAGCAGGCAGGAAGCCCCGTCCCCTGGACACGCCGCCCAGCGCAGGCATCCGAGGTCGAAGCGGTCACATACGTTGTACGTGACTGACCGGCCGCAGCCAGCCCCGCCCTCGTCACAGGTGAAGGCAGTCCGTGGAAATATCTCCTTTCTACAGAGTGAATTTACATTTAAGGTACAAAGTGCAAATACTATGGGTTTTGTTTCTGTTTTTTAATTGCGTTTGGTGAGGGAGCCTCCCACACGTCTCAGCACCGCGGCCCCCGTCGCTCATCCTCGGTTCCTGGGCTGGAAAGGAGACGAGAAAGACGGCGTGAGACCTTCGCAGCCCCCAGCCGTGACGAGGACCCGCCTTCCGGGAGGGAAGCAGTCCTGTCTGCCGACAACCAGGGGAGGCGGTCTTCTAACGGTGTGGCTGTGCGCGGGCCGCCAGGATCCTATGTAATTAGACCCTAATATGCAAATCGACCAAATGGCTAAACGACCAATCGCTATGATGCACACTGACCACCAGGGGGCAGACGCTCAATGCAGGGGCTGCCCCACAGATGGTCAGTGCACTCCCATGGGGGGGCGCTGCTCAGCCAGAACCAGGCTCACAGCTGGTGAGCACAGCAGTATTGACGGGAGCCTCTCCCGCCTCCGCAGAAGCATAAGGAGCAGGGGCAGGTGGGCGGTGAGGAGCAGTGAGCAGGTGGGCGGTGAGGAGCCAGGGGCCTGGACTGTGAGAGGGATGTCTGACTGCCGGCTTAGATCTGATCCCTAGGGGTTTGGGCCTAAGCTGGCAGGCAGACATCTCCCAAGGGGTCCTGGTCAAAACAGAGGCACACTCACCTGTCGATTGGAAGTGCTCTCTGCAGTGCCTTTGGGGACTGTTGGGGGGAAACACAAAGAAGATTTAACAGCTGCACACGCTTCCCAGGTGAATGGCTCAGGGTCCCCTTCAGGGAAGGACCAGTCTCATGTTCGGATGACCCCAACCACTGGCGCACGTGTTTCCATGGCAATGCTGAGCCCATCGGCAAGGAATGTGGGTCCCAGGGTCCTGCTGTGAACACCTCCTCTCACCCTCCCCAACCCCCTGGCCGGGCATGGCCCCGAACTCCCAACGCCGGCCCCGAAGACTGGCCTCGTCCCTGTTTCCCAGGCGTCCTCTCCCCGGCGTGGGTTTTGCCTATTTCCTGTCGTTTTGCCCATTTCAGAGCAGGGAGCACCCCGCCAATCAGACGCGGCAGCGGTTTTACCCCCCCGGCCTTGATTGATTGATTGCTGCCTCCTGGCTTTGAGATTTAAAACGGCCAAGTGCAGCGAGAGGCATTGCCTTTCCACATCCCCTCCTCCCGCGGGCGGGAGGGAACAATCACAGTAACGTGGAAGCACAAAGGCCGGAGAAAATTGCAAAAACACTGAATGCATAACCCGTCGGCAAACGGGCTATTGTTTTCCGTTGCAGGTTTGAGTGATTCGGGACCTGGTAATTGTAACCACTTGGCTTTCTCTGGAATGAAGACTTCGCTGGCCACGTGGGACCGCTGGTTCCAATTTAAAGGCCGTTCGTGAGCCTGGCGATCCGGCCTCAGCCGGCTCGGCGGCTCCACATGGCCGCCTTTTCCTCCGTTTCTCTTAGGACAAGTATCGGTGTCCCTGGTAGGTGGAGGCAGCCCTAGGTTAGGGGCAAGTAACCACAGTGAGAGTTAATCCTCTCAGGGGCTGAGAAGGAGAAGAGCACCTTGCCTTGCAGATGGAAAAGGCAAATTTCATGAAAGACGCCGGGAGCAGCCAGGCCGGCGTGCCTCAGGGGCTGGGCCACAGTTCGATTCCCGGTCAGGGCGCAGGCCCCGGGGGCAGGCTGGATCCCCAGTGGGGGGCGTGCAGGAGGCAGCTGATCAAATGACTCTCTCTCATCACGGGTGTTTCTACCCCTCTCCTTCTCTCCCTTCCTCTCTAAAATCAATAAAAATATATTGAGAAAGAGTCTTCGGTAAAGTTGAATGGCTCATTATTAAAAAAAAAAGAAAAGAAAAGAAAGACATCTGTTGCAATATCTCATTCAAGGCACAGCAGTGAAAACCACCATTTAAATGTACAGCCCTAGCCCGTTTGGCTCAGTGGATAGAGCTTCGGCTGGTGGGCTAAAGGTTTCTAGATTCTATCCCGGCCGGGGGCGTGCAGGAGGCAGCTGGTCAACGATTCTCCCGCATCTCCCTCTCCCTTTCTCTCTGAAATCAATAAAAGTATTATTTTTAAAAAATTAGAATAAAACGTACAAAGAGCAGGGAAATAAAGTTGTCTATGAGGTCTTTCAACACAACAGAATGTCCATGATCACTTCAGTTGGTCTGAAGCAAGGCCCCTCCACTGAGAGAGAAGGCTGTTCCCAGCCCCCCTGCTCCCCCCAGGCCCCCCGGCCCCCCAGCACCCCAGCTTGTCCCCCCCCTCCCCGACCCGGCCCCGGAACAGCCCCGGCGGGAGAGCTGATGTCATCGGGATCGGATGACCCTGATTGCTTCCAGGTGACCTGGCGGCGACGCCCTGAGGCAGCTTGCCTGAAGTGATGCAGCTCGCATGGCAATTGGGTGAAAAGACCATTTGGTCCAAACTGGATAATTCCTGATCGCTGCGTCTCTCCCCAATGGTCACTTTGGGGAATCACGAGGCCATGATGTAATCTTTTGTGACTTTCCCCGAATTCCTCAGAAATGGGCTCTTTTTTGGCTGTATCATTTCCTAATCGTCCGTAGTTCATCCCCCCCCCCCCCACTTTTGCATTTTTTATCACAGTGAAAGTTTAGATCAAACTTTCCAATAATTTATTTATATCTGTTTCGGTAATTGAAATGCAAAATCTTGTGTCGCTGCTTAAAATCGGTGTGATTCGAGGGCTGTAACTGGAGAGCCCCTGCCGGCCTGGCTCAGGGGTTGGAGTGTCTGCCCACAAACAAAGAGTCCGGACCTGGGTTTGATCCCGTTGTGTGGGAGGCAACCAATCCAGAGGTCTCTCTCACATCAATGTTTCTCCCTCCCCCCCAACTCGGTTCCTTCTTTCCTCTCTCTCTCTGAAAATCAATGGAAAAAAGAATATCCTTGGGTGAGAATTAAATAAACAAACAAAAAGTACATGCGACCAGACAGTGGTGTGGGGAGCCCGTTTGTAGTGGAAGTCAGCACGGCGTGTGAGGGATTCAGGTAAGGTGACCAGATGTCCCAATTTTTAACAATTTGTCCCGTGTCCCATGGCATCAAAAAAGTCCCGATTTTTTTTTAAGAATCTTTCCAAAAATCAGGACTTTTTTAAAACGCTGCGGGACGCGGGACAAATTGTTAAAAATTGGGACGTCTGGTCACCTTAACCTCAGGACAGCCGCGGACGCCCAGGCCCGGGGGTGGGGGACAGGAGGGGAAGGGGGGGAGGGCGGGGGGGGGCTTACTGTGCCGCTTCCTGGCGCCGGGCCTGCGCTCCTCCTTGGTCACGCCCAGGCAGCCCATCAGCTCGGGCAGGGCCAGGGCCTTGTCATTGTTGAGGTCGCAGTACTCCACGAACTTCTTCACGCACTTCTTGGGCTTGGACTTCTTCCGCAGGAGCCGCTTCAAGGGCTTCAGCTCCTTCTTGCCCACGTCGCCGCTGGCATTCTTGTCCAGCAGCTTGAAGTACCAGTGCACCACCCTCTCCTCCAGCGTGTGGCTGGGGTCGGGCTCGGACAGCCTGGGGGACACCCGGGGGGCAGTCGGGGAGCCGCCGGGCCGCCAGCCGCCCTCGTCCCCCTCCCTCCCTGTGCCGTCCCGGCCCGGCCTGAGCCGCACCTCCAACCCCTGAAGCCCTTTCCCGCCCGGGGAGGGCCCCCTGGCACCCGCGCTCCGGCCCCGGGTGAGTGGCCGGCTCTCCCGCGAGGGCTGGGTGTGGACGAGGGGCCAGTTTCCTCGGTTACCGGCTCCCGCCCGGCTCCCGCCCCGCGTCACCCACCGTACCTGCCGGGGGAGGAGGGGTCGGAGACGGCGTGCACCATGTCGGTGGACAGGGCGTCCAGCACACTCGTGAGGAATTCATTCTTCTTGGCACCAGGACAGCCTGCAACAAGGATGCTGTTCCTTTGCTCTCAGACCCACAGACTCACAGACCCACAGACCTCAGATCTCAGACTCACAGACCCACAGACTCAGACGCACAGACTCACAGACTCACAGACCCACAGACTCAGACGCACAGACTCACAGACCCACAGACTCACAGACTCACAGACCCACAGACCCACAGACCTCAGATCTCAGACTCACAGACTCACAGACCCACAGATTCACAGACCCACAGACTCACAGACTCACAGACCCACAGACCCACAGACCTCAGATCTCAGACTCACAGACTCACAGACTCAGATGCACAGACTCACAGACTCACAGACTCACAGACCCACAGACTCACAGACCCACAGACCCACAGACTCAGACGCACAGACTCACAGACCCACAGACCCACAGACCCACAGACTCACAGACTCACAGACCCACAGACCCACAGACTCACAGACTCACAGACCCACAGACCCACAGACCTCAGATCTCAGACTCACAGACTCACAGACTCAGATGCACAGACTCACAGACTCACAGACTCACAGACCCACAGACTCACAGACCCACAGACCCACAGACTCAGACGCACAGACTCACAGACCCACAGACCCACAGACCCACAGACTCACAGACTCACAGACCCACAGACCCACAGACTCACAGACTCACAGATTCACAGACCCACAGACCCACAGACTCACAGACTCACAGACCCACAGACCCACAGACGCACAGACTCACAGACTCACAGACCCACAGACTCACAGACCCACAGACCCACAGACTCAGACCCACAGACCCACAGACTCACAGACTCACAGACCCACAGACCCACAGACCTCAGATCTCAGACTCACAGACTCACAGACTCAGATGCACAGACTCACAGACTCACAGACCCACAGACCCACAGACTCACAGACCCACAGACCCACAGACTCAGACGCACAGACTCACAGACCCACAGACCCACAGACCCACAGACTCACAGACTCACAGACCCACAGACCCACAGACTCACAGACTCACAGATTCACAGACCCACAGACCCACAGACTCACAGACTCACAGACCCACAGACCCACAGACTCACAGACTCACAGACCCACAGACTCACAGACTCACAGACTCACAGACCCACAGACTCTCAGACTCAGAATCACAGACTCACAGAGTCACTGACCCACAGACTCACAGCCTCACAGATCTCAGACTCACAGACTCACAGACTCACAGACCCACAGATTCACAGATCCACAGACTCACAGACTCAGACACACAGACTCACAGACCCACAGACTCACAGACTCACAGACTCACAGACTCACAGACGCACAGACGCACAGACGCACAGACTCACAGACTCACAGACTCACAGACTCACAGATTCAGACCCACAGACCCACAGACTCACAGACCCACAGACTCACGGACTCACAGACTCACAGACTCACAGATGCACAGACTCACAGACTCTCAGACTCACAGATGCACAGACACACAGACTTACAGACTCAGACTCACAGAGTCACTGACCCACAGACTCACAGCCTCACAGCCTCACAGACCTACAGACTCACAGACGCACAGAGTCACAGGCCTACAGGCCCACAGAGCTCAGAGCTCAGAGCTCAGCTCACAGGCCTTTCCCGTGGCCGGAAGTGGCACCGCTTACTCCCTGAGGGCGTGTTGGGCTCATGGGATCCCTCAGGAGAGGCACCAACTGGCCCTCGTCAACACCGCGGACCCAGGTTTCCTGTTACCCTTAATCTAGTCCCCGGAGCCACAGATTCGAGACCGCTTCCCACCGGCTTCCACGTCACTAAATGCCCGGAAAACAGAGGGACCTGGAGCCGGGGCCGCGGAGAGAGCTCAGGCCCGGAGGGGAAGGGGGCGGCGGCGGCAGAGCAGCCCACAGCCCGGCAGAGTGACGTTTGCAGGAATAATTCTCATCAGCTCCCCCGGCGGGAAGGAGGAGTCTGGAGGCGGCAGGTGTGTCCCACAACCGGGGCCCCGGGACCTCCTGTGACGGCCCAGCTCCCTCTCACGGGGACGTGGCCATTGTCAGGACAATTCCTCTCCTGAGCACACCCTACCCCACAGCTCCAAGTCCATTCCCTGTGGGCAGGAAGCTATGTGGCCGCTGACCCCAGGTACCTTCCCCAGGCGAGCGCAGGTGTGTCCGGGGCAGGTGTGTCTCAGGGCAGGTGTGTCCAGGGCAGGTGTGTCTCAGGGCAGGTGTGTCCGGGGCAGGTGTGTCTCAGGGCAGGTGTGTCCGGGGCAGGTGTGTCTGGGGCAGATGTGTCTCAGGGCAGGTGTGTCTCAGGGCAGGTGTGTCCGGGGCAGGTGTGTCTCAGGGCAGGTGTGTCCGGGGCAGGTGTGTCTCAGGGCAGGTGTGTCCAGGGCAGGTGTGTCTCAGGGCAGGTGTGTCCGGGGCAGGTGTGTCCAGGGCAGGTGTGTCTCAGGGCAGGTGTGTCCGGGACAGGTGTGTCTCAGGGCAGGTGTGTCTCAGGGCAGGTGTGTCCGGGGCAGGTGTGTCTCAGGGCAGGTGTGTCCGGGGCAGGTGTGTCTGGGGCAGATGTGTCTCAGGGCAGGTGTGTCTCAGGGCAGGTGTGTCCGGGGCAGGTGAGTCTCAGGGCAGGTGTGTCCGGGCAGGTGTGTCTCAGGGCAGGTGTGTCCGCGGCAGGTGTGTCTCAGGGCAGGTGTGTCCGGGGCAGGTGTGTCCGGGGCAGATGTGTCTCAGGGCAGGTGTGTCCGGGGCAGGTGTGTCTTAGGGCAGGTGTGTCTCAGGGCAGGTGTGTCCGGGGCAGGTGTGTCTCAGGGCAGGTGTGTCCGGGGCAGGTGTGTCCGGGGCAGATGTGTCTCAGGGCAGGTGTGTCTTAGGGCAGGTGTGTCCGGGGCAGGTGTGTCTCAGGGCAGGTGTGTCTCAGGGCAGGTGTGTCCGGGGCAGGTGTGTCCGGGGCAGATGTGTCTCAGGGCAGGTGTGTCTCAGGGCAGGTGTGTCCGGGGCAGGTGTGTCCGGGGCAGGTGTGTCCGGGGCAGGTGTGTCTCAGGGCAGGTGTGTCCGGGGCAGGTGTGTCCGGGGCAGGTGTGTCTCAGGGCAGGTGTGTCCGGGGCAGGTGTGTCTCAGGGACCTGCCTGAGACCCTGCACTGTGCCCATCGGAAGACGCATCACCAGGACGTCTGGTTTAGGAACAAGCCCTGGCTTTCACCGATGTCTGTGAGCAGGCAAGTGTGCACACGGCGTCCGGCCTGTGAGCCAGCCCTGCCTCAGGCGTCGGGGGGAAGCAGCAGGGGGAGCAGGCGCGGCCCCGTGAGCCAGCCTGTGCCTGGGGAGGTGAGACTCAGGGTGAGAGTCAGGGCCGCCCGCTCCGGCTCCTGGAAGCCGCCTCTTCCCAAGGATGGAGGACGGCGTGAATGAGGACTTGCTGCTCCTTATAGGGAAACCCTAACCCCGTGGTCGGCAAACCTTGGCTTGAGAGCCACGTGCGGCTCTTTGGCCCCTTCAGTGTGGCTCTTCCACAAAATACCACGGCCTGGGCGAGACTGTTTTGAAGAAGTGGCGTTAGAAGAAGTTTGAGTTTTAAAAATTTATCTCTCAAAAGAAATTTCAGTCGTTGTCCTGTTGATAGTTGGCTCTGTTGATGGATGAGCTTGCCGACCACTGGCCTCACGAGTGAGGAAGCCCGGTGCCTCCAGCCACGCAGCCAGCAGCGGCACGCGTGTTCTGCCCTGGTCCGTGTGACAAGAGGGAAGGTCCGGCGCCTCTGGTATGACATCCCGTCAGCACCGTGCCATCATCCGCACACTGAGGAAAAACTAGCGCGGCCCCTGTAACTGGTCGTCATTTGTTCTTGTTTATTGTGAATGAGTAATTTCCACTATTTGCCCCCAAGGTTTCTCCAGTTTCTCCTCATTTTCTTAAAAATCAGGAAAAAATTAGCTGAACTAAATTTCCTAATAGAAACCTCACTAAGACCTCTGCCAAGTGCAGGCAGCTCCTGAGTTCAGTTCTCGCTGTTCCCGTGCCTCCTGCACCCTCTCAGCATCCCGTCAACGTTGCTCTGAAGAAGCAGCCAGTCCTACTACCGTGTTTCCCCAAAAATAAGACATCCCCCGAAAATAAGACCCTGCGCAACTTTGGGAGAAAAAATTAATATAAGACACTGTCTTATTTTCAGGGAAACAGGGTAGAAGGCTCGTCTCAGCCTGCTCCTCTGGGCCGGCCGGCCGGCCCGCGATCGGACCGCCCCTCGGGGTGCCCGGGCCCCCAGTCTCAGCTGAAATGTCTGGGTTTGCGTTTTTACCCGTAGCACCCTTTTCTCTGCAATGCTGGATGTAGTGTTCTATTTATCCGCCCTTTTTCCTATAAAAGGCAATTTTCTCCTAAGGGACTGTCATTCCACAAACTTAACTGCACATTTCACCACCCATGGTCATAAGACGTGAAACAGTGTTGCCCTCTCTCCAAGCATTGCTCTCTCGATCGGCCCCTCTGCCGGGACCCGGCGCAGACTTTGACATAGCTACGTTCTTGCCATAGTAACGTCTCACGTCATCGGAGAGCGCTAAACAGCAAACACGCATTTCATACCCACGCTCACACACGGCCCACCTGACCTCATCTGTCACCTGTCCTTACCTGTCACCTGTTCTCACCTGTCACCTGTCCTCACCTGTCACCTGACCTCACCTGTCACCTGTTCTCACCTGTCACCTGACCTCACCTGTCACCTGAACTCACCTGCACACCTGTCCTACCTGCACACCTGACCACATCTGTCACCTATTCTCACCTGTCACCTGACCTCACCTGCCACCTGACCTCACCTGTCACCTGTTCTCACTTGTCACCTGTCCTCACCTGTCACCTGACCTCACCTGTCACCTGACCTCACCTGCCACCTGACCTCACCTGTCACCTGACCTCATCTGTCACCTGTCCTCACCTGTCACCTGTTCTCACCTGTCACCTGTCCTCACCTGTCACCTGACCTCACCTGTCACCTGTTCTCACCTGTCACCTGACCTCACCTGTCACCTGAACTCACCTGCACACCTGTCCTACCTGCACACCTGACCACATCTGTCACCTATTCTCACCTGTCACCTGACCTCACCTGCCACCTGACCTCACCTGTCACTTGTTCTCACTTGTCACCTGTCCTCACCTGTCACCTGACCTCACCTGTCACCTGACCTCATCTGCACACCTGTCCTACCTGCACACCTGACCACACCTGTCACCTGTCCTCACCTGTTACCTGACCTCACCTGTCACCTGTCCTCACCTGCATACCTGTCCTCACCTGTCACCTGACCTCACCTGTCACCTGACCTCACCTGCACACCTGTCCTACCTGCACACCTGACCACACCTGTCACCTGTCCTCACCTGTTACCTGACCTCACCTATCACCTGACCTCACCTGTCACCTGTCCTCACCTATCACCTGACCTCACCTATCACCTGTCCTACCTGCACACCTGACCTCACCTGTCACCTGTCCTACCTGCACACCTGACCACACCTGTCACCTGACCTCACCTGTCACCTGACCTCACCTGCACACCTGTCCTACCTGCACACCTGTCCTACCTGCACACCTGTCCTCACCTGTACACATGTGGTCCTGGACGTTACCAGGGAGGCAGGCACCAGGGAGGCAGGACCCAGGAAGCCCTCCAGGTGTGGCTGGAAGCCCTGGGCACACGGCAGAGCACCTACTGTCTCAATCTCCGGGACGAGAGGGCCACCTGCCTAACCTAAGGCTCCCTCTGGCTCAGCTACCACTCAGCAGCCCCGTGTCTACGAACACGGCATTTTATCTGACGAGGAAGTCACCGAGCGACACGTTTAGCGGGCGAAACATTGGCTCCTCCTGTGTGTGAGGGAGCTCGAAGGCCGAGCCCAGTGCCGACAGGTGAACGCGGGCTCTGCAGGGCCGGGCGGCCCTCGGCACCGGCGCTGGGTCCGCCGGGATCCCCTGTGGAGAGCAGCGGAGCCTCCGTGGGGTGGGCCTCGCTTCACGGCGCTGGACGGCGCTGAAGCCGGACGGAAACCCAGGGTGCTCGGGGGGCCTGGAGCAGGCAGACCGCGTGCGCGCGCGCATGTGTGTGCGTGTATATGTCTGTGCGCGTGTCCGTGCGCGTGTGCATGTCCGCCGTCACTGCCGTGAGAAGGACCAGCGGCTGTGCGGCTGGCAGGCCGCTGCTCTGCCCGAGAACAGCCGATCCCGTGTTATTCCAGGGCGGCCTGGCTTTCCCTAATAAGGACGCTCGTCTCCGAAGAATCCCAAGGAGGCAGCGGCCACCATGGGGCACTCACTCCGAACCCTGAGGCAGCGGAAGCTGCAGGCTGAGCCCTGAGCCTGCACCGGCCTCTGGTTTGTGACTGAGGCCTGGGAGGCAGGGGCAGCGTCTGGGTGACAGCGCCCCAGTCTCCCCCGGGGGCGGCGGCGGAGGGGGGTGCAGGGCAGGCCGGTGGGTTCAGCTGGGACAGGCCTCCCACAGCACCCTCCCTGGGTGCTCTCTCTGAAGGCCCGTCTGACACTCAGACTGCAGCCCTGACAGCCCGGCCGGCCTCTGGTCGGGCCAGGCATCGCCCTCTGCTCCGGGTTCCATGGTGAGCGCTCCCGCCGCTCGCCGCGGACACGGCGTTCGGGGACCCCCTCACGGCAGCTGGAGGCAGGGGCAGTGCCGTCCCCTCTGACCAAAAGCAGGGAGATGCTGGGCCCCGTCGGACAGAGGCAGACCGAGACGTGGGCGAGACCCAAAAGCGTTCTGGTGGGCCTCCCGGGCGCAGGGCACAGGCCGGAGCCGCTGTTTCCCGTGAGAAAACTGTCCTCCCCCAAATGCCGACCGACCGGGCCGGGGGTTCCCCTTCACTCACGCTTCTGGCCGTCCAGAGATCTCCCCAGCCCCCGCGCAGCACAGAGGCCTCAGACCTGCTCGCCTGCGCAAGGACGGTTCCCAGACCGGCCCGGCCGCAGCAGCCGCGCCCGCCCTCGGCCCACACGGCGCAGGCCCTGAAGGCGGACAGACGCTCTCGGACAGACACTGCTCACGGGGCCCGGCGCCACACACAGCACCACGTGGAACGCCGGGGTCTTTTTTAAGATGACGAGGAAAAGGGTTTAAAAATAAACTGGCGATACATACGTATCTGCCAACGGTGAATCTAAAAACCAAAATAAACCAACAAAGAATCTAAAGAACAAAATAAACTGATGAATGAACCTGAACCAGAGGCGTGAACACACGGAACAGACTGACAGACCTCAGAGGGCGGGTGGGGGAGATAACCAAAGACCTTGTGTGTGCGTGCGTGTGTGCGTCTGTGTGTGTGCGTGTGCGTGTGCGTGTGCCTGTGTATGCGTGTGTGTGCCTGTGTGCATGACCTGTGCTGCTGGTGGAGGGCGGTGGGGACAGGCGGCACCTGTAACACCCCCAGTGCAGGCTCCTCCAAAGGCCTTCAGACAACACGGACGGCCGCGCTCTCTTCTGCAGAAGCGATCCCGAGGCTCAGGGGGAGGGGCAAGCCGGCACCTTCTGAGGAGGACAGACGTGGCTGCCCCTCGGACAGAGTCTCCACCACCGACACCAGCTCCGCCCTCCCTACCGCCAGCAGGCCCCTGGGGGGGGGGGGCGATGGGGCCGGCTGCCTGAGGGAACCCCCGCGCCCTGTTCTGTCTCTCCCCCAGAAGCTCTGAGTGTGGATTCTCCCCGCCCCTGTGCCCACTCACCCTGCAGCGGGCGGCCCCGGAAGAGGTCCCGGGCTTTGGTGGGGTGCGCCCTGGCCGTGTGGTCACATTTCGGCTGCTCGTACCTACGAGGGGGGAGGGCGGTCAGTGGGGTCAGGGCCCTGACGGGGTTTCTTCCCTTCCTCCCTGTCCCCGAGCAGGACCCCGCAGCCCGTTAGGGTGAGGGGGCCGAGGGGCGGGGGGCAGGGAGGGAGTGGGGAGGGTGCAGCGAGAAGGGCAGAGCAGTAAGTGCTGGCTGACACCCCAGCTTACAGGCCTGTGTCTGGGCCCGGCCCGGCCCTGACCCGTCCTTCCGAGCAGGAGCCGTGGGCACGGGTTTCCTGGCCGGAAAGCCCTGGGCGTGTGACACGCTGGCTCCCCCTCTCCCGCAGGCTCACCTGGTGGAGGTGCCGGGGATGGGCCGGCCCGTGTCCACCAGCACGCACCAGCAGTAGCCGGTGCTGGGGTGGCACTGCACCGGCTTGTAGAGGCCGCCGTGCGCGCACTCGGGGATCACCACGTCCTCGCTGCGCGGCTGCCGCGCCTCCTCCAGCGCCGACTGCTGCTCCTGGTCGCACGAGGACGCTGGGGGCGGGGGGCGGGGTGAGGGCAGGATGGACACGCAGCCCGCACACCCCGTACACACGCCGCACACGGCCCCCCACTCGCTTCCACACGCCCAGCACACACCCTGTACACACTCTGTACACACACTGCACACACTCCACGGGCAGCCCATACATGCCCCAAACACGCCCCACACACGCTGCGCACGACTCCACACAACCCACACACAGCCCCTCACGCCCCGTACAAGCCCCATATACACGCTGCACAATGTCCCCACCCACACCCCACACGCCCCATATACACTGCGCCACACACCCCGCCTACAGGCCTGCACATGGCCACCCCACACACCCCGAACACAGCCCCACACACGCCACATACACATGCCAAACACAGCCCTGTATATGCCCCATACACATGCCACATATGGCCCTGCTCATGCTCCCCCACACCCCACACATGCCCCACACAGAGACATGCACACGGCCTACACACACCCCGCACACGGCCCCGCACACGGATGCGGACAGCTGGGGCACATGTGGAAACTTGACTACACAGAAACCCTCCTGGAGCAGGTCCCTCACACAGACTCCCCCTCCACATGGTCACATAATGCAACATGCTTAATATACAGAAGGTAACATGTTACACATGCTGTGTAAAAGACTCTGCACTGTGCACAAGTGCACACACTCACTCCCCCACCCCTCCCCCTCCTCTTCTCTTCCCCTCCTCCCCCTCCTCCCCCTCCTCTCCCTCCTCCCCCTCTCCCTCCTTCCCTTTCTCCTCCCCTCCTCCTCCCCCTCCTCCCCCCTCCCCCTCCTCCCCCTCCTCCTCCCCTCCTCCCCCTCCTCCTCCCCCTCCTCCCCCTCCTCCTCCCCCTCCTCTCCCTCCTCCTCCCCCTCCTCCCCTTCCTCCCCCTCTTTCCCCCTCCTTCCCCTCCCCCTCCCCCTCTCCCTTTTCCTCCTCCTCCCTCTCCTCCCCCTTCTTTTCCTCCTCCCCCCTCCTCCCCCCCCTCCCCCTCCTCCTCCTCTTCCTCCCCCTCGCCCTCCCCCTCCTCCTCCTCCCCGGGGAGAAGGTGGTTGGCCTGCATCCTGTGGGCTTTGGTGGCTGCTGGGAGGCGGGGAGGCATCCACTGGGGGGACCCGTCCTGCTGAGGGGACCCGCCCCACGTCCAATGCCCCGTGTCCTCTGCTGTGATAAGTAAGTCGCGAAGAAATGGCTCAAACAGGAGCTGCAGGCTGAGCCCTGCGGCCGGCCCTGCGGTCAGCAGCCCCAGGAGGCCGGCACAGCCATGGCCTCTCAGCCACCTCCTGCTGCCTGCGGCTCAGCCCTCCTGTGGGCGGGCGCTCAAACACGGCGGACTCTAAATATTTACCTTGTGCCGCCCCCAAGGCCGGGACACGGGCGTCTGGCACCCCGCGCCTCGCCTAATAAGGCAGCGCTGGCCCGCCTGCAGCTGTCCTGCGCCCAGACGCCCTGAGGAGCAGGCGATGGCGGGAGCAGGAGCCGCGCCCCCGCCCCGCCCCGCCCCCCCGGACGCTGGAGCCTGAGGCCGGCTGTGTGACCCACGGAGGTCAGGGCGGGTTGGGCTGGGCGAGGAGGGTCCACCTGCCTGCTGTCAGGTGGCCTCACACAGATCCCCCTGAAACAGGGCCCAGGAGCGAGAGCCCCCCTTCCCCAGCGGAGGCAGGAGCCACCCCATAACTTCACTCCTTCCTGGTGTCCGGCCCCCAGGTCCCGCCCGCTTCCCGTCCCGCGAACGGAGGCAGCCCCGGGCTGGCGGCCGCAGAGCGCGGCCCCGGAAGCAGCGGGGCCGTTCCTGACAGAGCGGCTCAGGCTCAGGCCCAGCCGTGGCCGCCGTGGCCTTCGTGGCGTTCCTGGAAACCGTGGAAAACGCAGGCTCAGGGGAACCTGCAGGGGAACGTGCACAGCAGCCCCCGCCACCATCGCCCGGCGTGGAGGCAGCGAGGCCCCTCAGGGACAGACCGCGGGCGGCGGCCCTCATCACGGGATGGACTCGGCGATGAGAGAAATGGGCCAACGTGCCAGGACAAGACCGGGAGGAGCCGAGCTGGTGTGGCTCAGTGGGTAGAGCGTCCGCCTGCAGACAGAAGGCCCCAGGTTGGATTCCTGGTCGGGCACTTGCCCGGGTTGTGGGCTGGATCCCCAGTGGGGGGAGTGCAGGAGGCAGCCGGTCTGGTTTTCTCTCATCCCATCTCTCTCCCTTCCTCTCTGAAATCAATAAAAAAATAAATAAACAATAGCGGGAAGCAGGTGCAGCCCAGTTAGAGAACCACAGTTTGGACACTGACGTCTAAGAATTCCATCTGGGAAAACGCCCTTCCAGCTAGGAAGACGGGAAAGTCAGCACATTTTTAGGTTAAAATTTTCGCAGAATTCGCTTTTTCAGTCCACATTTAAAAGGAGCTATTTGTGTTCTTTTTTCCCTATTTTAATCTCTTTAAATGACCAAAACTTCATAACCTGAGAGTCTTGCTAGTATTTGATGTTTTTGCAAGGCTGCGTTTAAAACATGAGGTTAAAAACAGGGGAGATAAGGTTTTAAAACTTAGAAACCCACAAAGCACACAGCATCGGCTGACCTTCCCCGGGGAATGCTGTTTGCCAGGACTGAGCGCAGAAGCAGGAGATGACGATCTCTTGGCGCTGAGCTTAACGTGCAATAAACCGGAGCCGCCCTCGCGGGCAGGCAGAGCCCGTAAAGCCGGAACATCGCGGGCAGGAGGCGGTGGGAGGCCGGGTCGGGCTCTGGGCGGGAACGGGGAGGGGAGAATCCTTTATCTCAGGGAAGGGGGTCGGGCAGAACATCACAGGCAGAGCACTCGGAAGATCGGCCGCGCGGCCCCACACAGGACGTGGGAGAGCCACGGCCGAGACAGAAAGCAGATGTGCTAGTGCAGTGGTCGGCAAACTCCTTAGTCCACAGAGCCAACTATCAACAGCACAACAATTGAAATTCCTTTTGAGAGCCCCCCAGATCAGAGCTGATGTGACAAAGGCAGCAGGGGAGCACCAGCATGTTGTCCTCAACACGGAAAAGCCAGTGCCTCAGTTTACCCAGAGCCGGCAGAGGGTGCTTGGCGAGAACCCCACGCTGCCCACAGCCCCTGGACGGTGGCCCCGCAGCCCGATCCCCACCTCCCTCCGTCGCTGCATTGACGCCTGGGGTACACCAGCGTCCGCGTGTCGGGGTGCAGACTCGACTGAGAAATGGGGCCACACTAACGGGGCCCCTGACTCAGAAGCTGGACAGGCCGGCGCCGTCCGTGCAGAGCTCGCCCCGCTGCCCCCGCCCCCCCGCCCAGGCCTGTGCGGGAGCCCCCGCCCGGGGACCTGCCCCCTCAGTCACTGAGCAGCCACAGCTCCCACGAGGTCCCTGCAGGGCCCCCACCTTCACGTGCTCCGGGCACGTGGCCGGGCCATGGGGTAGACAGTGCCCACGCAGGGATCAAACCACTCTGTGTCCCAGGCGTAGACAAGACGTGTGAACGTCACACATACACGGGTCACACACATACGGGTCACACGTACACAGGCCACACACACACGGGTCACACACACAGGTCACACGTACATGGGTCACACGTACACAGGTCACACATACACGGGTCACACGTACACAGGTCACACATACACGGGTCACACGTACACGGGCCACACATACACGGGTCACACATACACGGGTCACACATACATGGGTCACACATACACAGGCCACACATACACGGGTCACACGCACACGGGTCACATGTACACGGGTCACATACACTGGTCACACGCACACGGGTCACATGCACACGGGTCACATGTACACGATGTCTAACATGCTGTGGGGGAGAGCCGGGAGCCCCGGGACGAGGTTCTAACTCGAAGGCCGTGTGTGAAGGTCAGCGATATTCCCTCGAAACCGACCTCAGGAATCCGGGCTCGGACACACTGACCTGGGACACGGCGTTCTCTCCGTGAGAATCGGGGAGGCCCACCGGGAAGGCGAGGGAGCCGTGCAGGCGTGAACAGTGGGGGGGACACGCAGGTACGGGTGGTTCTCACGGACAGTGGGTCACAGAGCAGACACTGGGCAGCCCACACCCATCTCCAATGTCCAATGTCAGGTTCAAAGGTAAAGTCTGGCCTGGCCAGCGTGGCTCACTGGCTGAGCGTCGACCTATGAACCAGGAGGTCAGGGTTCGATTCCCGCTCAGGGCACAGGCCCGGGTTGCGGGCTCCATCCCCAGTGGGGGCGTGCAGGAGGCAGCAGATCCATGATTCTCTCTCATCATTGATGTTTCTGTCTCTCCCTCTCCTCTCCTCTCTGAAATCAATAATAAAATACATATATTCTTCAAAAAGTAAAGTCTGTCACGGATTCATAGCAAAGCCGTCAAGCAATTCTGAGGATTCTGAATTCGTCAGGCGTTTCGACATCCCTGGCACTTGGTCGAAAACACACACTCATTTCCAAACATTCCCATTTACACCTGAAGCTGCCGTTCGCTTGGCACCAACGGAGAAACCTCGTAGAGACTGGAACACGTCATAAAAACACCAGCATCCGAACCACACAGCCCAGTGCTCGCGTCGTAACCGGGACACACACACGTCCACACTGCCCTCGAGGAAACAGCGGGCGGGCCCTCTTACCTGAGTGCTTGGTCTTGTTCTGCCGGCTTTTAACCTGTTCCGTCCACAGCGTCGGGTAGCGCGAGGCGATATCTGATAAAGCAAAGCGGGCGACCGTCATTGTTAGTTCATCTGGGAAACAGAGATTTCAGCAGCAGCCTGAGAGCCAAAGAGATCGATAGAATACGTGAACACACACTGTACATGTTAAAGATTTACGAAATAATTCTGTGCACGAGGCAGCAGGAAATAACTGTGCACATTGAGAATTTTCAGAACATTTTTCCTCTCTCCGTCCAAAAGTGTAAACAAACATCCTGAGAATCCAGACAGGCCTCCCATGCAGACACGGGCTTTATCAAACCGTCCGTGAGGTCCAGACGGACATTCACACGGCGTGCGGTCCGAGCTCAGTGGGGCGGTCCGGCTGCGAGCGGGTGTGTGAGATGTGATTTCATGCAAAGCGTTTTTGGGAGAGTGTGTCCTGGCGCTTGGTTGACGAGCGTAAAGGCTGGTCAGTCACATGATGGCCCGAGACCTCCCGGGAGCAGACCAGCCAGGTCCAGCCCCCTGAGCCAGGCCCCGCCTCCTGGCCTCCCTGTGTTCTCGCCCGTGGCTCGGGGCCCTGGGGGTGTAGGGGGCTGTCCGCAGGGCACAAGGGAGCTGCAGGCTATGCCAGTGTTGGCTGTTATCATTACTTATGGATGTTACTGTCTGCAGAGCACCATGTAACTCCACCTTCACTCACTCATCTCCGTGCACCGTATTCTGTCCTCACACCCGACTCCGGCCTGAAGGTGTAGGACACACGGCGAACACCGCAGACGGTGCAGGAGCGGCCGAGCGTGGGGAACCCAGCCCCCGCGACTGCGGGGCAGAGCGTGTCCCGGAGCCACGTGTGAACAGGACATGGGAGTGTGACGTGAACAGGGAGGGACAGTGCCACACGCCACTGTGCTCTTCGGAAAAGTCTGTCTTATGTCACCCGCGTTTCAGAATGCCAGTGCAGAGTGTGATTAAAAGGACACGGCGTGGCCGCCCCACATCCACCAGAGACAGCAGGTGCTCACAGCGTGGGGTGGCGCCCACAGCCGCCCTCCCGCCCCCCGTGACCCCAGCCCCGCCCCCTCACCTTCTTCGTCGCCTTGGGGCTGCGTGTCCAGCGCGGGGGCTGAGGCATCATCTGAATTCAGAACGGAAAACATTTGCAAGGAGACTACAAGCCGGAGACAAGCGGGTAAGTGTGCGTGCAAACAGCCGGCAGGGAACACGCACCCACCCAGGACACGCGGGCACCGAGGGCGGGCGGCGGAGACACTGGTGGGAGAGCTCCTCCACCGGGGGCCAGGCCCCACCACAGGCCTGAGAGGCCAGAGGGGGTTCTACATACACCCTGAGCCCCCATGGGCCCCGTGTGCGTGTGTGTGCGTGTGTGTGTGTGTGTGTGTGTGTGAGAGAGAGAGAGGGGCGGGGGGGTGTGTGAGCCAGGAGCCCAGCGCCAGGAAAAGGCAGCCTGGAAGGTCAGGAGGTCAGGTGGCCACAGGTCCAAGAGAGGGGCATGGCAGAGCTGTGAGTGGGGCCTGGCAGGGGCTGTGGGCGGGGCCCGGCAGGGCTGTGGGCGGGGGCTGGCAGGGGCTGTGGGCGGGGCCTGGCAGGGCGGTGGGCGGGGCCTGGCAGGGGCTGTGGGCGGGGCCTGGCAGGGGTTGTGGGCGGGGGCTGGCAGGGGCTGTGGGCGGGGCCTGGCAGGGCTGTGGGCGGGGCCTGGCAGGGGCTGGGCAGGTGGACCCCTGGCCTTGCAGGTTTTCCCGAGGGTCAGGGCAGGCATGAAGGCCTCCTAGTTGAACTGCTGTCCATGGGTCTCTGCACCCCTGAGCTTTCCCTCCCCAGAGGAGTTATGGCTCCACCAGGGCCTCGGCCATCGCTCTGCATGAGGATCACATGTGTCCCAGCTCCGATACCGGGCGTGACTCCTCCTCTCCCCGGCATGGCCAGGCCAAAGCCCCCAGGTGGGCAAATTACATGCCAGCCTACACGTCTGCAGGTGAATATGTAACAGCCTGCCTTGGCCCTCACAGTCGTTATGAGCTCAATTTGCACGTTAACGTGAGACGTTGGCATAAGGCACGGGTTGGGTCAGGTACAGTATATTGTTGTGGGAATTCCTGTTAAATGTAAACAGTTACCTGTCTTCCCTGTGCCTTCCCGCTGAGGTAACTTTTCATTTGTGGAACCTGTGGGGGGAAATAAGGAAGGAGATTATTTGGGCTCCCAAACCATCATCAGTCATTGTTACAAACGCGTGTTCTCCCATGTTGATGGGGTCACGGTGCTTGTGGCTTCCGGTCCCCGAAACCACGAGGCCTATGCCAGGCAGCATGAGAGGCACCCCTACTCGCCACTGCCCGCCCACTGTGTGCCCGAGACCCTCTCATGGCCCCCCTCCCCCCCCCCGCACCTCCTTCTGTGTAATGTCAGCCCAGCCTTCCTCACCAGGAGCACCAGGCTGGGCAGAAAAAGGAGCTAATGTTTCAAATACTTTAAATAAGAAGTTACTCAACTGCAGACACATTAAGACCTCAGTTTCTGCTGGATCCAAATTTACAGAAAAACGACCAAACCGAGGAGCCGCCTCCTGGGGGCGCCACGGGAATAGGAACCACCAAGCGGCCGACCATGACAGATGCCTGTTTACAAACACCAGGACCAGGCTGTGCCCACAGGCTGGGACTGCAATGGGCACCCACATTCCTCTTCATCCCCATGGCGCGCACCCTCCCCGACTCAGGCCCAACCTGGTCAGGACAGGGCGTGTATCCTGCGACTCGGTTCGGAGTATTCCGACCGGGGTCCGGTTAGTGCTGTGGCCGGCAGACTCATAGCCACAAGCCGCAGTTTGCCGACCACTGGGCTATTGTGACCACGGTCAAGTGCCAGGTCAGCCGCAGCATCCGTGAACTAGAACCTGAAATGCCTTGTTTACTTTATTTTTTAATATGTTTGATTTGATGGCAGAGAGGAAGGGAGGGGGGAGGGAGAGAAACATCACCAATGAGAGAGAATCACGCATCAGCTGCCTCCTGCACGCCCCACACTGGGTATTGAGCCTGTCACCCGGGCCTGTGCCCTGCCTGGGAATTGAACCTGGGACCTCCTGGTTCATAGACCGATGCCCAACCACGGAGCCACGCTGGCTGGGCCACTGCTTATTTTTCCAGTTGTGAGTATGGCATTAAATGCAGACCAACTCCTGTTGGGACCAGGGACCCCTGATGACGAGGTTTATGCTGTGTCCTGGACACACAGTTGTGCCTCATGGCAAACATCAGGCACTTCGTGGAGAGGGACCTCAAAGGCCCTGACCAAACGGTTTGGCTCAGTGGATGGAGTATGTGCCTGTGGACTGAAGGGTCCCAGGTTCGATTCCAGTCAAGGGCATGTACCTTGGTTGCAGGCACATCCGTGGTTGGGAGTGTGCAGGAGACAGCTGGTCAAAGTTTCTAACTCTATCCCTCTCCCTTCCTCTCTGTAAAAACCAATAAAATATTTTTTAAAGGACTTTGAAAAATAACCGATCAGAGACATAACCTGGGGCTCCCGCCCAGAGGGGTCCCCATCCTGACCCAAACGCGAAGCAGCGGGTTTCCTTAAAGGAACACGGCACGCAACTCTAAAACACACACACACACACACACACGCACACGCACGCACACGCACACGCACACGCGCACACGCACACCCCGTACACGGCGGCTTCCCGGGTTTTGTGGAAGTGTTTGGAGAGCAGATTCCGGTGTCGGTGCAGAGGGACCGGTGTGCCGGTGTGGACCCACCACACGTGGGCGGTGAGCTGCGGTTGGACCTGCGGACGCTCGGGTTTAAAGGCCTGACTCCCTCCCGATGGAGTGCCATCCATCCACGCGCCATCGTGAGAGGCAGCTGCCCGGCCGGCGACGAGGGCGGCACTCCGGGGAGAAACCACAGACCCGGCGAGGAGGGCGCCCGGGTCTGAGGAGGAGCCGTGAGCTCTCGGTCTGCGGCTCTGAGCACGGTTCTGATCCAGCTCCCTCAGCAAGCCCCAAGAGAGGGAAAAGGGAGGGGGCGGCTCTCGGCAGGGTACGGAGCCCACCCCTTCACGGGCTGAAGGCTCTTTACAGACACGTCAGGACGGGAGAGCTGGCTGTGTCCGTCCGTCTGTCCCTCCGCCCGAGGGAGAGGGCGCGGCTCCCTGTGGGCAGGGGCCACGCTTCCTGGAAACGCACGGCCCAGGGGGGTGCACACGGCTCTCCCTGGGAAACAAGAGCCAGAGGGAAAGGGGAGCAATGGCAACAGCAATGGGAGGGGGCGCAGGGGCCAAGGGCTCCGTCCCCCTGCCTGCTGGTCAAAGCCCCCGGAGCCCTCTGCGGGCTCAGGCCTCTGGAGCACTGGGCCCGGCCAGCCCCGGCCGCAGTCACCATCACGTCTGCCTCCTGCCCTCCCTCTGTGCAGGGCCGTCCTTCTGGGCTGTTCTCAGAGCCGCTTCCTCGTACGCTCCGGTCAGGAGGGTGCGCGGTGACGAGGGCCTGAGTGCGGGAGGCATGTGTCACGGAGGGAGGCGTGTCATGGAGGGAGGCATCTCGCCCGCCCTCGGCTCAGCTCCCATCGGCACATGGCTCAGGCAGCACATGCCCGGGGCTGCGGGAGGCGTGGAGCAGAGAGCACACGCACCAGGCACATGACACATATGCCCCTGACTGCTCAGGACATGTGGTGGCGGCGGGTCACATGTGCACGTGTGGCTCACCCCGTCGGACCGTCTTCTCGGATGGAAGAAACCAGCACCGAGGGCTCCTGAGGGCCAAGCACTCCCGGCACCCCCCCCCCCCCCCCCGCAGTGCCTGCCTCCACTGTCCTCGAGGCTCCCAGTTCCCACTCTGACGTGGACATTCCACAGACTCCACGGCAGGAGCGGAGGGGACGTGCGTCTGTGCCACCCCCGTCCTCGGACACCGCGCACCTCACCCGCTCACAGTCACAGGCCTCCCGCGCCGGACGCCACGGCTACACGTAAAAAGCGTGCCGTGAGGGCGAGCTGCGGGGGGCCGGGCCGGGAGGAACACGCACGGGCACAGGCCGTCCCGGGGAGCACGTCACTCAGACCGTCTGGGGGAGCAGGCCGGCGGACGGCCCCCGCATGGGAACCACCTGCCTCTGACAGGCTCCTCGGTGCCTTTGTGGTTTTATTAAATATGAGAGAAGAGGCGAGAAGGGCCGTGGTGGGCGAGGGATGGAAAGAACACGCTTGTATACTTTGAAGTAATGAAAAATTCAGTTACGAATTAGCCACACATTGACGGTGCGCGGAGCACAGCGCCGGGGGCGGTGAACGGCGAGCTCCGGCACCTGGAAGCGCTTTCGCCGGAGAAGAAAAGCCGTAATAACGGCAGGGAGCACCGTCCCTCGGGGAAACAGTAACACCAGCATCCTCTCGCCACGCCGCTCAGTAACCAGATGGAAAGGAGGAGAGAGCCAGGGAGGGACCGGCCGTGTGGACTCAGGGCCCAGCGCCCCGCACGGCGGCCGAGCCACGCCCACGTGGCCGGGTCTGGCTCCCACCTCGAGGTCAGCGCTGTCGGAGCTCCTCACTCACACTCCCCACACGGTTCCTCGGGCGCTGGCGTAGCCACCATGCTCTGCGGCTCCTCGCTGGCGAGGTGGCTGTGTGTTCGCTTGCAGTGAAGTCAGCGCATGATTTTCCTATCTCTTTCTCCCTCTCCCTTCCCCTCTGAACTCAATAAAATCATATTTTTTAAAAATCACGTCCTTAGTTCAATCCATACAGTCCGCCCCTTATCTGTGAAGGATGAGTAGCCAGAGGTGGGGATCACAGGAAGTGCTGAGACAGGAAGTATGAGACGGGGGTCGTGGCGAGACGGCGAGGGCGAGCTGCAGGCCACAGGGGAGAGGTGGGACCACCACCGGGGTTTATGCCTAAAACCAGCTGAGAGCAGCTCCCCCCAGCCTCCGACTTCAGCCTCGTTACGTGCTCACCGAGGCCGAGGCACCATCCGGGACACAGGGGGTTGGCTGGCCACCCCACCCCTGATCCAACTCCTGGTCAAACTCCCAGTCCACCTTCCAGTCAAGGGGACAATTTGCATATTAGCCTTTTATTCTATAGGATAGTAGTCATTTGCATCCGAAATGACATTTGCACCAGCCACACATACACGCCAACCATGCATACACACACACTCATTCACACACATACACACACTCACACCAGACACACACACACACCAGCCACACACATGAATACATACACACATACACACCAGCCACACATACTCACACATACATACACACTCGCACACACATACACACCAACCATGCATACACACACACTCATTCACACACATACACACACTCACACCAGCCACACACATTAATACATACACACATACACACCAGCCACACATACCCACACATACATACGCACTCGCACACACATGCACACACATACATACCAACCATGCATACACACACTCATTCACACACACGCACACCAGCTGCACGGCTGTGATCAGGAGCAGAGGCCCAGACAAGCACGGATGCTGGGCTGCACGGGCCCCGGACTAAAATGAAAACAGCTGCTCTCCACAGAGGGGACGTTTTCAGAAACTGCTGGGAGATTCGTACGAACACCGAGTTCTAGAACTTCTGGGGGAAGCGGGAACGCGAGGCATTTCGGGAAAACGCAGGATCACAGACAGATCAGCTCTGAGTCAGTCAGGACCGGCGGGCGGCAGAGAGGGCCCACACCGGGAGCTCCGTGGAGCGGAGGCCGTGCTGGGCCATGGGGGCCCCCACAGCTCCCTGCCCGGGGCTCCCCTCCCCGGCCCAGACAGAACCGCCAGAGCTCACGGACCCGGCCTGGGGCGGCCGGATCTGACCCGGCGTCCGGACAGACCGTCCCGAGGCCCCCGCTGCAGTTTCCTGCGAGCCTCCCCCCGCGGTCCCCGAGCCGCTGCGGACACGGCGGGCCGGCCCCTCGGATGGCGTGAGCCCAGCCTGTGCAGTGTCGCTCAGGCGCGGACACAGGGGCTGGCTTAGCGTGTTGTTTTTTCTTCCTCACTCACTTCCTGAGTTCGTAAAAGAATTATTAAGTGCAGGGTGCGCTCCCTGAAAATATTTTTTCAGCCAATTTTAGGTCTTGGGTGACAAAACAGGTTTTAAAAAAGTTGGTTTTCCCTCCCAGGGCTTGCAAGCGGCCGCCAGCCAGTGGGTGTCAGATGGAGAGTTCCTGCTGACGAGGGGTCATTGTCCGTCCCGCAGACAGCAGCTCAGGCCCAGCCCGCCGCCCGAGGGGGTCGGCATCGGACAGCCTTTCTCACCACAACGCCCGCCCTTCTCACAGAAAACCCGTCCGGAAGAAACTCCGCTGCCAGCGTTCCCACCGCTCACGGGAGAGCAGGAGGACGCACGCTCTCGCCGCCCATGAGGACGTGTCTGCCTGTTCTGGGAAACCGAACCCTGGGAATGGACGCACAGATCAGAAACTTCCTTTTTTTAATATCAATCCTCGCCCCGAGGATATGTTTCCATTGGTTTTTAGAGGGAGTGGGAGAGGGAGAGACAGAGAGACATGATGTGAGAGAAACACATCGATGGGTTGCCTCCAGCATGAGCCCTGACCAGGGCCCGGGCCAGGGAGGGGCCTGCAACCGAGGTATGTGCCCTTCACCGGAATCGAACCCGGGACCCTTTGGTCCACAGCTGATGCTCTACCCACTGAGCCACACCGGCCAGGGCCACCGTGAATCCTCACAGGTGATCTGATCGGTCTCCTCAAACATGAGTTGTCACGGAAGGCCGCAGACCGCTGTCAGGTAAAGGCGGTCTGAGTCACATATCGTCGTTTTTGGTAAAGTAAACGGACACGGACCACCGTACGGGCCGCCCTCCTGCAGTGTGGGGACGCGCAGCCGCCAGGCCTGCGGTGAGGAACGAAAATAACCCGGAGCCGCCGGGAAGCAGTGGACACGACCGCTTCCCTTTGCGAAAACATACACAGACCGGAGGCACTTCTTCCGTGTTTGTTTGTTTTTTTGGCCAAAGGAAATATTTGGTCCTTCCGCGGCGGACTGCAGCCCTCCAGCGACTCCTAACACTCGGCACCCAGACCCGGGCCTGGCGCGGCTCCAGCCCGGCCCTCCCCGGGAACGGATCTGAGAACTGGGTTCCACCCGGGATCCCCCTTCCGGGACTCCCCGCGGGCCCGGCGCTGGGCTCCTGGTGGTCAGCAAACACAGAGAGGGCCAGAGCCCAGCCGGGGTCAGAGGGCTCCGTCGGCGACCAGACCTACCTGGGCAGCGCGGCGTCTTGTGGGCCACGGCGGTGCCGCTGATGGGCCTCCCGTTGGGTGTCACGCACCAGCAGTATCCCGTGTAGCTGTGACACTGGACCTGGGGGGACAGGGCGTGCGGTCAGGGTGGGCCTCACCACGCAGGCCGGCTCCCCCAAGCCCAGGAGAGGGATGCCCGACCAATCCCGCGCGCGCGCACACACACACATGCACACACATGTGCGCACACATACGTGCATGCACACACACCACCAGAGGTGCTCACCAGGCCCATGTGCCACCGAGGTCGTGTGGCCCGGGGCTGGCCGAGGGCGATGAGTTCCATTGGAACCGGGTCTCAGCACAAACGGGGGTGGGTGCCCCAGCCTCACCACCAGGCTGCCCAGCCGGTTCACCCAGAAGGGCCACGTAGAGCAAGGCCACGGGCTCCACCAGGAAGGAGTGGGGCCACTCACCACCCACTCCTGCCGACGAGCCCAATCGGGGACAGAGCACCCCCCCCCCGTCCCTGCTGTAGAGCGTGTAGCTGGCTGTAGGAGTACCGGCTGTAGCGTGTACCTGCTGTAGTGTGTACCTGCTGTAGTGTGTACCTGGCTGTAGCATGCACCTGGCTGTAGCATGTACCTGGCTGTAGCATGTACCTGGCTGTAACATGTACCTGGCTGTAGCGTGTACCTGCTGTAGTGTGTACCTTCTGTAGCGTGTACCTGCTGTAGCATGTACCTGCTATAGAACGTGTACCTGCTGTAGCGTGTATCTGCTGTAGAACGTGTACCTGCTGTAGCATGTACCTGCTGTAGTGTGTACCTGCTATAGAACGTGTACCTGCTGTAGCGTGTACCTGGCTGTAGGTGCCGTCCTCGCTGCACTCCGGGATGAACACCTGCTGGAACTCCTTCCTCGCCTGCTCCTGTGTGTACTTCCGCTCAGCCACACACCGGGACACGTCTGCAGGTGGAGCAGAGCAGTGCGGTTACATGCCAGGACAAGGCAATGCCAGACACAGGCGCCATGGGCGGGCGAGGGCCACCCAGGTCCCAGCGCGAGGCTGGCTGCTCCGAGGCGGGGCCTCTCGACACCTGAGGAGCCGGGGCAGAGCTGGGTGGGCTCGTGTGTCGATCTGGGACACGGGACCGGCTTCATGGCAAACGAGGGGACCAGGCGGGTCCAGTGGGCGTCCCCATGGGTCTCAGAGTGTCCTCGGGAGCCCACAGGGTCCCGTCCACAGGCCCAGTGGGAGGGAGGAGCACGGGGCCGGGGCAGGACGTTCTGGCCACAGCGGGTCCAGGCGGCCCCTGAATCACCATCCAGGGAGCACTGGGCCTCCGGTGCCGGGTCCCTAGACCTCACAGCCATGCCTGGCTCTGCCTCTCCTGCCCATCGGTGAGCCCAGCCGGCCGGGTGGCTCAGTGGCTGAGCATCAACCTAGGAACCAGGAGGTCAGGGCACACGCCCGGGTGATGGGCTGGATCCCCACGGTGGGTGTGCAGGAGGCAGCCGATCAGTGGTTCTCGCTCCTCACTGATGCTTCTCTCTCTCTCCCTCTCCTTCCTCTCTGAAATCAATAAAAATCTATAATTTTTTTAAAACAGCTAAGACACGATCGGAGGCAGAGCCCGCAGGCCTGCTGCTCCTCAGAAGGCACCCCTGCGACTCCGCAAACAGCGGAAAGGAAAAGTCCGGAAGCGCCGACAGGACCCCGCTGCCAAGAGCGGCCGGGACGGTCCGCCCGCGTGTCCCCTCGGGGCTGGTGGCCCGTGTCGCCCACGGAGGCCCACGGATGGCTGGGCACACCCTCGCCGGGGGTGCAGGCAGGCACCCGCACGGAGACGGGGATGTCGCCATGGCTACGCCGTGCCCGGGGGACCGGAAACAACGGCCACACCCTGCAAAGTATCGGCTGTCTGACCACAACGCCGGTCAGACACTGAGGCACAATAACGTGGACAGAGAGAGACGCCTCCGCACCTCGAACCCTGCTCTGCCACGAGGCAGAGGGCGAACCGTGGGGTTGGTGGGCCGAGGAAGCGAGGCTGTGGCCCAGGAGGCCCGCCTCGGCCCACGGCTGTGTGTCTGACCTCCGGTCCTGCCGGCGGGAAGGAGGACATCCCGATGCCGGCCGGACCCCGGAGGGGGAGTGAGGGTCCAGGGAGCCTCCGGCAGCAAGGCCTCACCATCCTCGCCGCGCCCGCGGACACCCTCACGGCGCTGTTTCCCTCCTCTGGGCCCCGCCCCTGGAGCCCGTTTGAGTTTTAAAGCTTGACAAGAACGGCTTTCCCCAGCTGTCTTAAGTGTTTCCAGATTTAAATAACCGGTTGTCAGATCTGAGGGCCCATGGGCTCCGAGCGCCGCTTCTCCCAGCCCCGCTGCCCAGCGGCTCCGGGCAAACTGCTGGCTGCCAGGAGGGGCCAGCCCGGCCTGGGGGCTTCTGGGAGGTCCGGTGTCCTTGATGGAGTGCAGACCTGCCGGGGCGGGCAGCCCGGCCACCACGACCCCCGCCCCCCGCCCCCGACGGCTGGTCCCTCCGGGCCTCCTTCCTGGTCCACGCTGGCCGGCCGGCCGCTGGCGTGTGGTTTTACTGCGCCCTGTGTTTTGGCTGCGGGAAATCACTGCTTGCAGGGCCGGCCTCCGTCCCGGGGCAGCTGCGGTCTGACCGTCCACAGGGAAACGTGATAGGGCCGCGGGCCGGGCCCGCGGTGGATGGAGTTGCAGACTGTGCCCAGCGTTTGAACTCTCGTGGAACAAGCAGAAAGCACCCGCTTTCCAGGCTGCTCTCGGCGGCCGTTCCTGGCGTGGGGTGTGGACACCACCTCCCTGCGCGGGCGGGAGGTTTCGAACCAGCAGCCCCGGGCCCGGCGGCCGTGGGCGATCCGCAGGGGGGACGCAGGCCCACGCGCCAGTCGCCCCGGGTGCAGGCCTGTGGTCACCCCGCCCCTGTCAGCCCCCCCCCATGTGCTGACTCAGCACCGGCCACGGCTGCCTGCGGCGAGGAGCCTGGACACCCTCCCGGAGATTCTGCTGAAACGTGCAAAACACCAGGCGGTTCCCCAGAGCTGCTCCTGCCGCCGGTGCTGCCGGGTCCTGTTACTCTGCGTGGTCAGGACACGTGACGTGAGGCCGTGGGCTCAGCTGGCTTTCCCGGGCACCGTCTTCTTTGGGGCCACGGGGGAGCCCACGGCAAAGCCACGGCCGAGCCTGCCTCCTGAGCTTCCCTTTACTTATTTAATCTGTTTTTATTGATGTCAGAGAGGAAGGAGAGGGAGAGAGAAACATCCATGATGAGAGAGAACCGGTGATCAGCTGCCTCCTGCACGCCCCACACTAAGGGCTGTGCCCTGACGGGGGATCGAACCCTGACCTCCTGGTTCAGAGGTGGATGTTCAGCCACTGAGCCCCGCCCGCCAGGCCCGTCCTTCACTTTAAACCGGCGCCTGGCCGGCCTGCTCCCGAGAGAGACCATGTCCAGCGCCCGCCCTAAGGAATCTAGCTCAGCATTGCTGTCCCCTCCGCGCCCGGTGCTCCCTGCAGACAGGATGGAGGCTCCTCACGCCGTGTCTGTGCTGTGGTCGGTGAGGATGCAGCAGGCCCTCACGGCTCCTGTTGGGCCAAGGCTGGACCTGGGCACCTTGTGGTTGGCTTGTTTTTCTTTTTGGACACGTCATTGTTAGTCCCATCATGATTCCTCTGGGATCCACGACACGAACTCAAAGCCGACCTCGTGGCCGTCTGAGCGTGGGGCGCGGGGGCCTCAGAGGTCCACCATGCCGTGGAGCCAGACAGAGCTCCAAGGAACCCCGGCCACCCTCTGCCCCCCTTCCCGGTGCCTGCTGGGCCCACGCTTCCCTTTCCCGGCTGCTTATGGGCCGCCTCACGGCACCTCATCTTTCTCTGGTCCTAAAACCCACCCCCTGCCCTGGCCGGTGTGGGCCAGCGGTTAGTGAACACGGACCCGTCAGAAGGGCTGTCTCCAGAGTCACCGCAGTCACTCTTCTTCCCCCTGATCTGAAAACATTCACAGGCTTACAGCTGAGCCCCCTCACTGACAACGCAGCGGCCGTGGAACCGAAGACACGGCGTGGCAGTCACGTGGCACCGCCTCACGTGGCACCACCTCACGTGGCACCTCCAGTGTGCGGACGCTTACCTTTGCAGTTGCCCCGGTACGCGATCTCCAGCTGCGGGTCCTTGCACTTGGCGCGCTGGAACTCGCAGCGGGACAGGAAGGTCCTCCCGTCGGACGCACAGACCGGCTTCTGGGGGGAGCCCCCGCAGTCCAGGCTGCAGTCCTTGTCCTTGTCCTGATCAACGCGTAAAAACTGCAGAGGGAGAGAGAAACAGATCGCCTGACGAAACGCGTTCAGCCCGGCCGGCGGGGCCAGGGGCTGAGCGTCGGCCTGTGAACCCGGGTCAGGGTGCGATTCCCGGCCGGGGCGCAGGCCCGGGGGGTGGGCTCCATCCCCGGTGTGGGGCGTGCAGGAGGCAGCCGGTCCATAACTGTCTCATCCTCCGTCCCTCTCCCTTCCTCTCCAACATCTATACATACGTATACATTATTTTTTAAAGACATGTGCCCAGCAGAGCAGCAGGGAGCAGGGAGCGACGGGGCCACCACGTCTGGGAGCCGCGGCCGGGCTCCCAGGGAGACCTGACTTCTTGGCCGTCGCCCACTTCCCAAACTCTCGGAAACCCGCTGTCCTCGCCGCCTGCGTTTGGTGCTGAGTTGCCGGAGGTGGATGGCGTGTGACGCTGTCCGTGCGCATGGAGGAGCGTGCACCCTCTGCAATCCGCTGCCTGTTACTCCCCACTCACCGGCTCTGCCTCATCCGGGAGGGGCGGAGTCAGTGAGGGAATGAGGTGGGGGCATGAAATAGCCCCACAGGGCCCCCAAGGCCGAGCCCCGTGTGCATCTCGCCCGGACTAGGTCCTATCTTATCCAACAAAAGACTAATATGCAAATCAACCGAATGGCAGAATGACCGGTTGCTATGACGTTCACTGACCACCAGGGGGTAGACGCTCGATGCAGGAGCTGCCCCTGGTGGTCCGTGTGCCAGCAGCCATGGCAGGAGCCTCTGTGGCAGCACTAAGATGTCTGGCATAGGCTGCTCCCTGCACCCTGAGGCCCCCGGGCTGAGAGGGCGCAGGCTGGGCTGGGGGACTCCCCCACCCCGCAGTGCACAATGTTGTGCACCGGCCCTCTAGCTTCCAAATCAACGCCCGGGGGAAGCGATTTCTGTGGAGGCCTCATGGCTCTTGGGCTGACCCATGACCCCCACAGTCTCTGCCCAGGGCCCCCCATGCTCCCCATCCCTGAGGACACCCTGGGTTCCCTGTCCCCCTCAATTTAACAGTGCCCCCCAGAGGCCTGAGCCTGCCACCGGCTCCCACATGGCACTTCTTGCCCAACAGATGGCGCTTCCCGCCCACCCGACTCCCCAAGCTCTGCACATGCTCCCGCTGCAGGCCTAGTCTTCCCCCATCCCTCCCCCGTCCCCTCCCCCACCCCCGCCCCCGCCCCCACCCTGCCCCCTGGCCCCTGCCCCCGCCCCCTCGACCCCCCAGCCTCTGCAAGTGCTCCCACTGCAGGCCTAGTCCTCCCCCATCCCCTTCCCCCTCCCCGATCCCCGCCCCCTATCCCCCGCCCCCTGGCCCCCGCCAGGAGGGACAGCTCATGTGCAGGGGCCTCAGGAGCTCCTGGGGTGAGGATTCCCGTATCGCACCTGAGAAACTCCCACCCCCCTCACAGCCGGTGCTAGACGTGACCTGACCACACAGCTGCCCTGTCCACGGGCGGGGGGGGGGAGAGAGAGGGAGGGAGAGAGAGTCTTCTACTTGGCTGAGGTCTCCAGGAAGTGGAAGTGCAGTGACTTGGGGGCCTCTGCAAACACAGACACGGAAGACCACATCCAGGCCGGAATGTGAGGGCGCACTCCATGCTCACGTCTCTCTCTCCTCCCGCTGTTCACTTCCGTCCCACGAAATGGGGTGCGGAGGGGAGGGCCTAAGACCTCGAGGGAAGGGTCCGTCCGGCCAAAGGTCTGGTCTTCGTGAGGACTTGGTGGCAGGTTTGCAAGCTTATTGGGCGAAAGGCACTTGGCCAAACTCAGGACAACATCGGCTGGACCTTTAGCAACAGGATTTTAAAACAACAGCCTGGCTGCAGGGCCGCCCTCTGTGCCCACACACGTCCGTCCATCCGTCCGTCCGTCCGCACAGGGCAGGGAGCCCGGGGCCCCCATGGGAGCACGGTGGGGAGGCAGCCGGGGAAGTGGATGGGAGAGGGGCTGGGGTCAGGCCTCCCTGCCCTCTGTTCCGGGTCCCCAGCTCCCCTCGGGCTTCGACTCCTGCTGGCTCCTCCAGCTCCGTCTGCAGGGCAGCGGCCGCCCTGTCCCCGGTGACAGCACAGAGGCTGCTCACGCCCTGACGAGTGTGAGGAGAGCAGAGGGAACGGCAAGGCCCGGGCGCCTCCACACAGTCCCCCCCCCCACAAGGTCACATCTCACTCACACGGCCATCACCCTGAGCCGTGGGCGTCACCCTGAGCCACAGGGGTCACCCCGAGCCCCGGGCGTCACCCCGAGCCGCGGGCGTCACCCCGAGCCACGGGCGTCACCCTGAGCCTCAGGGGTCACCCTGAGCCAAGGGGGTCACCCCGAGCCCCGGGCGTCACCCTGAGCCTCAGGGGTCACCCTGAGCAGAGGGGGTCACCCTGAGCCGTGGGCGTCACCCTGAGCCACAGGGGTCACCCCGAGCCCCGGGCGTCACCCCGAGCCCCGGGCGTCACCCGGAGCCGAGGGCGTCACCCTGAGCCACAGGGGTCACCCCGAGCCGAGGGGGTCACCCTGACCCCCGGGCGTCACCCCGAGCCACAGGGGTCACCCCGAGCCGAGGGCGTCACCCTGAGCCCCGGGCGTCACCCCGAGCAGAGGGGGTCACCCTGAGCCCTGGGCGTCACCCGGGACACGGCCATCACCCCGAGCCGCAGGCGCAGTCTCCGCGATGCCCTCCCTGCCCGGGCGCCTGGCCTCGGTCACCGACGCCTCCCGGTGTCTGCGCCCTCCCCAGTCAGGCAGAGCCGGCTGCCCGTCCGCGGTCTCCCCACGGGTGTCCCGGCCGAGGCCATGGCGAGGCGGCTGTGGTTGTTCCTGACGGTGCGGAGTCCGGGCCCTGGGGTCAGAGCACACACCACGGCGTGCACAGAGCTCACGCCCGCCGGGAGCCGATCGCCGTTTTGGGAACAGAGAGCTGTGGACGGGAGTCCGGGGGCTGGCCAACCGTGATTGCTCTGAAGGGTCAGAGCTAATCACCAGACATTGGCAGTGGAAGCAGCCCCCACCTGTTAGTCCTACACTCACCGATTGGCTTTTCTTGGCGTTTCCTGCCCAGGGGACATGGGTGTCTCCTGTAATTCTGGTCTTAATAAAAGGGACGGAAAGGCCAGAGGGAGGAGTCGTCCTCCACTAGAGTTGGACTACCTCCTGGCCCCCATTCCCCAAATTAAATCTTTTCTAAAGTCTCTTTTCCTTTGTGTGCGGCCTTCTCCAGAACCCGAACACTGAACCCGAACCCTGAATCACGTGGGACATGAAAGGGGCTTCCACATCTGACACCTGGCCGAGGACAGCCTGCCACACGCGCTGGCCCGGCACCTGCGGGGGGAGGTCCCGGCCCAGCGCGGGGAGCGTGCGGCCCAGCCCACAGCTCCGCCCTGAGCCCTGGGCCGTGGGGAGGAGGCGGGAGCACCACCCAGCATCTGTCCCACTTTCTCACCACACGCCGAGGGCGTGTTCGGAACACGGAAACGGGCGGGATGCTCAGGAGAGGCATTCCTGCCGAGCCAGGCCCGGCTAATATTCCCACAGGCCCTGCTCCTTCCCGCCCCGCCCTCCACGACGGAAATAATTCACCGGAAACGGCGCTGGACGGCAGCCGGCTCATCAGGCGGGAGGGACGCTCCAGGCTGCGGCGGTTCTCAGAGGAGGAGATGGAAATCGGGGACCCAGCCTGAGACAACCAGGCCTGGCCCGGGCCCTCCGCCTGGCAGGCAGGAGCCGGGGTCCTGGGGCCTCCTGCCGACCCCCGCAGGCTCCCCCCGCCCGGGTCTCACTCGGCCAGCGTCTGCACCACGGACACCCACAGCCACACACACAGAATCTTGCATCTTTAATGCTAAAACGTGATGTGGTGTCCACTGACGTGGTTCAGCCACAACAACAAACGTGAGGTGTCACGGAGGGTCAGAGGTGGAACTCCTCGGCTGAAATCTGGCATTAAATGCCCTTTGGCCCAGACCAGTGTGGCTCAGTGACTGGGATCGACACTGCAGCCAGGCGGCCACAGTCTGACGCCTGGTCAGGGCACAGGCCCAGGATGCGGGCTCCATCCCCAGTGGGGGGTGTGCAGGAGGCAGCCGACCATATTCTCTCTCACCATTGGTGTTTCTCTCTCCCTCCCTCTCCCTTCCTCTCTGACATCAATCAATATATAGACTAGAGGCCTGAAGCATGAAAATGGTCCAAGAGTAGGCCCTCCCTCCCCTGGCTGCTGGCTCCCGGGAGCCAGGCTTCCCCAGAAGGACATACGGTCTAATTAGCATATTACAATTCCATCATTATAGACACACACACACACACACACACACACACACGCACACACTGGAGGCCTGGTGCACCCATCAGCAGTCCAGGAGCCCTCAGGGGATGTCCACCTGACGGTTTAGGGCCGAGTGGGGAGTCGGACGTCCTTAGCACGGCTATGGAGGACAGTCACTGCACTCACCAGCCATGAGCCCGACTTCTAGCTGAGCGGTGCTCCCCTGTGGGAGCACAATGGCCACCAGGGGACAGCTCCTGCATTGAGCATCTACCCCCTGGTGGTCAGTGTGTGTCATAGCCACCGGTTGTTCCATGTTCGGTCAATTTGCATATTACCCTTTTATCATACAGGATCATCATATGGAATATTTTTAAATGCCCTTTAAACATGGAGCGAGCAGAGGAGGATGGCAGGCAGCTGGACGCCACATGGGCTGCCCACCCGCTGCCCACCGCCCACTGCCCGGCTCGGCTTCCCATGGACTGGGAGGCCCTGCAAACCCCACAACTCCCAGGGGTACACACCCTAACACGTTAACGGTCATGCCAGGGTGCATACAAGTCTGAGAAATCTGGAGTATCAGCCTATCAGAGTGAACTTCATCTTATTTACAGCAAATCAACAGATGCATGTAAACCATTCAAACTCTCAGCTAGAGGAGCTGGGTGAGTCAGGATGCAGGAACGCTGACCCTGGGGACGGGGTGATTCAGAGAGGAGCT